TAAGGTTTTAATGAGTATGTTTGTATAACTTGTTTATCTGAAAAATTTATAAATATTTAAATTAAAAATAAATAAGTAAAAAGGACAGTGTAAAAATAAAAATAAAAGCAAAATAAGTAAATACAAAAAAATCAAAGCATCCCTCCCCCTCCACGCTGGTGAACAAAGGCGTACAATATGTAAAAAAGCGGTTGCTCCCTGCACGTGAGGTATTGCCACAAATGTCAGATCGAGCGCAGTAATTCTAGTGCTAGACCCCCTTTGAAAATCTAAAGTGGTAGTCTGTAAAGGCTTTTAAAGCATCGCCTATGGATATTAAAAATGTATGTAGTTTGTCTCCGTTGCATGGGGTATTCGCAGTTTTAAAGCAGGTCATGTTTGGTATCTATTTACTTAGCATAACATTATCTTTTATATTGTATCAAACAATTGGCCAATATATTGTGTTTTTGTGCATTAGAATGCAAAAAAGTATATTTTTTCCTGAAAATGTGTGTTTTAAAAATCGCAGCGCAATTACTATGTGATATAAAAAATTGCAACACCCACCATTTTATTCTCTAGGGCCTCTGCTTTTAAAAATATATATAATATTTGGGTGTTCAAAGTAATTTTCATGTGAACAAAGTGTCAGAAAAGGCCTTTTCAAGTGATTGGAAAAATGGGTGATGTGTGATAATGTTGGGCATAAAATGCCAGGATAGCACAAAACCCACCAAAATGACCCCTTTTTGGAAAGTAGAAACCCTAAACTATTTGCTGAGAGACATGTTGAGTCAATAAAAGAATGTATTTTTTACCACAAGTTTTTGGAAAATGAAGAAATTTTTTTTTACATAAAGCTGTCACTTAAATTATATATTGCTCACACATACCATGGGTATATGTGGAACTACACCCCAAAACACATTCTGCTACTTCTCCCAAGTAAAGGGATACCACATGTGAAATAATTTTTGGCAGTCTAGCCAAGTACAGGACCCCAAAATCCAATAAGCACCTTCAGACTTTTAATGGGCTTTATTCACTCATTACAGTTCCTGACTACCTATCACAGTTTCAGAGGCCCTGAAATGCCAAAATAGTACAACCCCCCCCCCCCCCCCCCAACATGACCCGTTTTTGAAAAGTAGACACTCCAAGGTATTTGCTAAGAGGCATGATGAGTACTTTATAGATCTCATTTGCTGCAGCAAGTTTTGGGAAAATTAATAAAGAAAATGAAAAAATGTATTTTTTCCTTTTTTTTCTTTTCAAAACCTTGTGTCAAAAAATTATTTTGGCAAAATACTCACCATGCTTCTTACTAAATTCATTTTCAAAAAGGGGTCATTTGTGGGGGGGGGGGGGGGAATTTCCTGGAATTTCAGAGCCTCTGAAACAAACTGTGATAGGTAGGGAGGAAGAGAAATGAGAAAATTACAAACCTTCAGGCTTTCAAAGGGGTCATTGCATTTCTGGCATTTCGGGTACGCCCATACTCGGATGGAATAGCAGAGTATATTTTGGGTTATAATTCCACATATACCCATGGCAAATGTGAGCAATATATCATTCAAGTCACAACTTTGTGTACATTTTTTTAGTCATATTCCAAAAACTTGTGGTTAAAAAGAAAAATCTTCCATTGACTCAACATGCCTCTTAGCAAATAGCTTAGGGTGTCTACTTTCCAAAAATGGGTCATTTAGAGGGGTTTTGTGTTATCCTGGAATGTTGGAGCCTTTCAAACTGTGATAGGTAGTGAGGAAATTAAATGAGGAATTTACACACCATCAGGCATTCAAAGGGGTCATTGGATTTCAGGCTCCTGAATGCGGCTAGGCTGCCAAAAAGTCTCTCACATGTGGTATCCCCATACTCAGTGGAAGTATAAAAGAAAATATTTTGGGGTGTAATTCCACATATATCCATGGAATGTGTGAGCAATATATCATTTAAATGACAACTTTGTGTAAAAAAAAAAGTCACTTTCCAAACACTTATGGAAAAAAATAAATCTTCCATGGACTTAGTATGCCTCTCAGCAAATAGCTTAGGGTGTCTACTTTATGGAAAGGGGTCATTTGGGGTTTGTTTGTACTGTCCTGGCATTTTAGCACCTCAAGAAATGTGAGGCAGTCAGAAAGTAAAAGCTGCATACATTTCAGTGTCTATACCATAGTTTGTAGACACTATAATTTTCACACAAATCAATGAATATGCACTTATTAGGATTTGTTTTCTACCAAGAGACATGTAGAAGAATACAATTTGACTAAATTTGAGTTTATTTGATATTTTTTATAACAGAAAGTAGAAAATGTGATTTTTTTTAAAATTTCCTTTTATTTTGTTTACATCACAAAAAAAAGTGGTGATCAAATACCACCAAAAGAAAGCTCTATTTGTGTGAAAAAAGGACATACATTTTGTTTGGGTTTAGCATTGCATGACTACAAAATTACCAGTTGAAATAGCGCAGTGTCGAATACCAAAAAAATCCTGGTCATTAAAGGGTGTAAATCTTCTGTAGGGCAAGTGGTTAATATGCATCACAGAAATGGCTGTATTCACTTCTATGTAAAGGAAAATACCATATAACATTATTGTTACATTGTATGTACTGTTTCATTCATGTACACTTCTGTGACCTTGCATTAGCATATGATGACTATGATAGCAACCCTACCAGTAATTGTTAATTTGTTCCTCTTTAACATCCTAATAATCCTAATCACCTCAAATTAACTTAAAGTGCATTTTTCCAGATTCATGAAGCTCAGACTTAAAATGTTGCAATAAAATGTAGAAAGGAGAGAATATCATGCATTTTGGCATTTTCGCCTTGGGTGGGAAAGGATCCTGTCCCAGCAGCACTTGGTGCCAGTGCACCACAGTGCATGGAAAGTCATTGCACCATAAACACACTTAATTCCCAGTTATGCATTGGAGTGCACTGAAACACACATCCATTGAGATTCATTGGCAAGGATTGTTGGAGTGTCAAATAAAAAGTACTGAAATATACCTCATTGTAGATCACTACCACAATGCATAGGTAAAAAGCCAGGTTTTAGGCTTTTAAAATAAGTAGTTTATTTGTAATATTTTTGGTTTATTATTGGTTTGCTTTCCTTCAAAAAAGGCACAATTCAAAATGGGCTGACTTTTCATTGGTATGCAGCCTATATGTTAGAGATGGTTTGCTCCTAAAATGGAAGGGGGTCTGCTGTGCTGACAGAGAGGTTTGGATGGATGAGTATTTAAACTAGGATCGAGGGGCGAGGGATGATTAGATTATAACGGGGTAGACAGATCAGACAGGGGTCAGTGTGTATTGGTGGGTGGAATGGGGAAATATGGGGGGAGGGCTATGGCAGATGATAAGAAGGTTCCCATGTTACAAACAACAAGTGGAATTGGTAGCATTTGTAGGAAAATAAAAATATGCAAAAATACATGTGCACAGGTGTCAATGAATTATAGTGTTTGTTCACCAATGCCAGAAGTCTGCCAAGCAAAATAGGTGAGTTGGAAGCTTTGGTGCATGAAAATAACTATGATTTAATTGGTATTGCTGAATCTTGGCTTCATTATTCATATGGAGAGTGTAATAATGCTGAATCATTATGGGTGGAACTGCAAATGGGGGTGCTTACTACAAAGGTAATCATTGGAGTTTGTTATAGGCATCCCAGTGTTAATGAGGAGGTGGAGACTCAGCTCCTTGCACAGATTACAAGTGCTGCAAGGGCTGAGACAGTGATAATAATGGGGGATTTTAACTACCTGGAAATTGACTGGAGTAATGTTATTGCAGGAACAGTTAAAGGACAACATTTTTTAAACCTACTACAGGACAATTTTATGGTACAGTTCATAGAGACCCCAACTAGATATGATGCTCTGCTGGACCTGGTAATCTCAAACCTTGCAGAGCTTATTACCACTATCCATATAAAAGAACATCTGGGTAGCAGTGACCATAACACGATTTCATTTATTGTTAGCTGTAAACAGCAAGCACATACGGGAAAAAATAAAAACCGCTCAATTTTAAGAGAGCTAATTTTCCAAAGCTGAGAGCTGCTCTCCAAGACTTAGACTGGGAGGGAATATTGGCATCAATGAACACAACACAGAAATGGGAGTTCTTCAAAAATACTGTATGTGAACACACTGCAAAGTGTATTCCCATGGGCAACAAGTTTAAAAGGCTAAAAATTAAAAGTTAAAAAAGCTATAGAGAATAAGAAAAGAGCTTTTATTAAATATAAAAATGAAGGAATGCTATCATTTTTTAAACATTACAAAAAATTTAACTAAATATGCAAAAAGGAAATAAAGGCCACAAAATTGAAAAAGAACGACAGATTGCAAAAGATAGCAGGACCAACCAAAAATTCTTCAAATATATTAATAGTAAAAAAGGTCTGGTCCGAGCATGTAGGCAAAATAATCTAGAGTGGATGACTGGGAAGAAAGAGAAGGCAAATTTATTAAATACCTTCTTTAGCTCTGTATATACAAAGGAGCATGGGGGAACTCTTGTCCATAATGTACATGGTATTGACACAGCACCAGATGATCCACATTGGCTCAGAATTGATAGGATCCAGAAATATTTTGACAGAATAAAGGTGAATAAAGCACCTGGACCGGATGGCATACACCCACGGGTCCTTAAAGAATTGAGCTCTGTCATTTCAAAGCCATTGTTTCTAATTTTTAGAGACTTTTTTAAAGACTCTTTAATGACTGAAATAGTACCACTGGATTGGCGTAAGGCCAATGTGGTGCCTATATTTTAAAAAGGGGTCAAAATCTTTTCCAAGTAATTATAGACCTGTTAGTTTAACTTCTATAGTTGGAACGATACTGGAGAGTTTAATAAAACCACATAGATGAGTTTTTGCTGGAAAAAAAAATATTTTAACCACCTTCCGTCCGCCCTATAATACAATGACGGGCGCAAGGTGGTTCTCTCGTTCTGATATGACGTCATATGACGTCCTACCATTCTCACTGCGCATGCGCGGCTCAGGGAGCGCGCAGCGCAGCGATCGCTGGTGCGCTGTGTCCCTTGGACACAGCAGATCACGGAAAGAGCCGAAGATGTTGGCTCAGTCATGTGATCAGCTGTGTCCAATCACAGCTGATCACATGTAAACACGGAAATGCCAGTTATCGGCATTTCTCTCCTCTCGAGCTGTCACGCTGACAGCTCGAGAGGAGAGGAGAGCCGGTAATCGGCTTTCTGCGGAGGGGACATGTACACTGATCATCAGGGCACTGATGATCAGTGTGCCCTGATGATCAGTGTGGCCCCAGAAGTGACACCTGGCAGTGCCCATCAGTGCCACCGGCCAGTGCCCATCAGTGCTACATCAATGCCACATATCAGTGCATACCAGTGCACATCAATGGCACATATCAGTGCCCATCTGAGCTGCCTTTCAATGTCACCCATCAGTGCCAGTCAGTGCCACCTATCAATGCCAATCAGTGCCACCTATCAGTGCTGCTAATCAGTGTCACCTATCAGTGCCTGTCAGTGTTGCTTATCAGTGCCGCCTAACAGTGCCAGTCAGTGCCGCCTATCAGTGCCAGCCAGTGCTGCCTATCAGTGCCGCCTATCAGTGCCATATATCAGTGTCATGTATCAGTGTCATGTATCAGTGCTGCCTTTCAGTGCCCATCAGTGATGCCTGTCAATGCCCATCAGTGCAACCTACCAGTGACTCCTCATAATTGCCCATCAGTGCCACCTATCAGTGTCCATCAGTGCAGCCTATCAGTGCCCATCACTGCAGCCTCATTAGCGCACATCAGTGAAGGAGAAAAATCACTTATTTACAAAATTGCATAACAAAAACTAAGAAAAACATTTTTTTTTCAAAATTTTCAGTGGTTTTTGGTTTGTTTAAGAAAAAATAAAAATCCCAGAGGTGATTAAATACCACCAAAAGAAAGCTCTATCTGTCTCAAAAAAATGATAAACATTTCATATGGGTACAGTGTTGCATGACCACGCAATTGTCATTCAAAGTGCGATAGTGCTGAAAGCTGGAAATTGGCCTGGGCAGGACGGGGGTATAAGTGCCCTGTAGGCTAGTGGTTAAGCAACAGACAAGATGGATTCATGAAAGACAGAAGTTGTCAAACAAATCTGAATCTTGGACAGAGGGGTGGCTGTAGACGTGGTATACCTGGATTTTGCAAAGACGTTTGACGCCGTTCCCCACACACGGCTAATATGTAAGGTAAAATCTAAAGGCTAGGAAAAGCCCATGGACAGAAAACTGGCTAAAAGATCGTATTCACAGAGTAGTGGGTAATTATTATTATTATACAGGATTTATATAGCGCCAACAGTTTGCTCAGCGCTTTACAATATATTGGGAGACAATACAGCAACAATACAGTTCAATACAAGAGGGATAGGAGGGCCTGATCCTGGGAGCTTACAATCTAGGAGTGAGGGGCTAGTGGTACAAAAGGTAGTAACTGTGGGGGATGGACTGGTTGGAAGAATAGAAAATTCCATTATTAGCTGAGGGCAGGATAGGCTTCCCTGAAGAGATAGGTTTTCAGAGATTGCCTAAAAGTGAGCAGAGTAGGCGATAGTCTGATAAATTGGGGTAGAGAGTTCCAGAGGATGGGGGAAGCTCTGGAGAAGTCCTGGAGATGAGCATGGGAGGAGGAGGAGAAAAGGGAGCTAGAGAGTAAGAGGTCTTGCAAGGAGCGGAGAGTACGGTTTGGGTGGTATTTGGAGACAAGAGACAATCATTCGGTTAATGATTCATACTCTGAATGGTCTAGGGTTGTCAGTTGTGTACCCCAAGGTTCAGTGTTGGGACCCTTACTTTTTAATATATTTATAAACAATATAGCGTCTGGGATAAAAAATACCTTTTCAGTCATTGCAGATGACACCAAGCTGTGCAGTGGAATAACGTCCTTACAGGATGTCTCCAACTTATAAGCCGACCTCAATGCACTGTTTAATTGGGCAACTATGTGGCAAATTAGGTTTAATGTTGATAAATGTAAGGTTATGCATGCATCATACATACTAGGGGGTTACGACTGGGGGAATCCATGGTGGAGAAGGATCTGGGAGTTCTGGTAGATCATAAGCTTAATAATGGCATGCGGTTTCTAAAGTGAGCAAAATCCTCTCTTGTATTAAAAGAGGTATAGACTCCAGAGAAATAGATATATCATTTTTCCCATGTACAAATCATTAGTAATGCCTCATCTGGAATATGCAGTTCAATTTTGGGCACCAATTCACAAAAAGAACATTGGGGAACTGGAGAAAGTACAGAGAAGGACAACCACACTAAAAAGAGGCACGGAGGAGCTCAGCTATGAGGAAAGATTAGAGGAACTGAATTAATTCTCTCTTGAGAAGAGGAGATTAACGGGGGATATGATCAACATGTATAAATACATCAGTGGTTCATATAGTGAACTTGGTATAGAGATATTCACCCTGAGGTTATCACAGAGGACAAGGGGGCACTCTCTACGTCTGAAGGAAAGAGATTTAATCTCCAAACATGGAAAGGTTTCTTCACAGTAAGAGCTGTGAATATGTGGAATAGACTCCCTCAAGAGTTGGCTCTGGCCAGCTCAGTGGATTGCTTTAAAAAAGGCCTGGATTCTTTCTTGGATACACAGAATATAACTGTATACTAACATCTAAGGTAAAGTTGATATAGGTAATATTGCATCTCGGGAGATCAGGGAGGAATTTTTTCCTCTGCAGGAGCAAATTGCATCATGCTTTGCTGGGTTTTTTTTTGCCTTCTTCTGGATCAACTATGGGTGTAGGATTATAACTTTTTTTAAATGGTTGAACTGGGTGGACTTTTGTCTTTTTTTCAGCCAGGCTAACTATGTAACATATGTTAAACATTTGCGTAACTATCATGGGATTTACAAAATAAATGAGAAATACCACACTGTAGAGAGAGGGTCCTTATGATGCAATTCTGGACTGACATGGGAAAATATCAATATTTTAATTACATGCTTGGGAGCCTTTAAGCTATGTGTAGTGTTACGAAACAATATAGTTTTCACAGTTTTTTTTAAAAATAGCTTTGGCTGTGACACCTGATTTTGTATCCAGTCTTAAAATGAATAATGGAAGTAGCAGACACAAAAGACATATAGGAAACTAAAGGCAAATTTATTCTAAAAAAAAGAAGCTATAGCCCTCATCTTTGTAGAAATTGGACAGTGCCACAACAATTCATTCGTTTAGATATAGATTTTAGATGTGTATTTAGTAAAAACTGTCTAGTGTCAGGACAGTACATAAGCATTTGAATAGGTAGCAAATAGAGAAAAAAACAAGTCTTAATTTGCAATAAACAGAGTGTACTAATCTGAGTGCTCTTCGGTTGAAGTGTATGTAAGCAGCTTGATTAGGCCACATTATGAAAGGGAGAAAAGAAATATGTCGATCTTGAAATATGAATTAGAATTTAAGTGTCAATATACACAAATATTGTTCAGTGGATGTAAGCAGGTTAATTAAACCACAATGTAAAAGGAGGAAATGAGACATGTTTTATATTGAAGTAAGAATTTCATATTATTATTTGAGAAACAAAAGCCCAAATATTTATTGTACACCGCTGAGTCAAAAGTATGTATGCAGTTTGGTAATGCCACAATGTAAGAGGGAAAGATAAGGCATGTTTGTCTAGAAATAAATATTAGAGCAAGGCTACCTCATTTGCCTCCCTCAATAGCTCTTAGTAAACATCCTTTTCACCTCTGCTCCATGAGCTGCAGTAATTGATATTTGAGTCCAGCCAGCCAGTTCTAGACTTTCATGGCTCAATCTTTGATGATCTTTTAAATTAGCTGATCAGCTGTAAATAGAATGTCTCCACAGTATACCTCTATTTTTCTCTTAAAAGTACCTTTTCTGCATGAATAAATAAATAAAGTAATTAATTAATTAATTAAACATTAGAGTGTCTTATTTGAGAGAAAATACAGTGGATGGTGAAGCTTGGTTAAGCCTGGCTTGTAAGTAAAAGAGACAAAGCAGGTTTTATCTTGAAATAAACATTAGAGTATATAATTTCAGACACAATAGCGACAAATGTTGTACAGTGACTGAACAGTATGTAAGCAGCTTGTTTAGTCTGTAATATGAGAGAGAGACTAAGCAGGTGTTACCTTAAAATAAACATTAGAGTGTGTTATCTGATAGACAATAGTCAAAAATATTGTACAGTAACTGGACAGTATGTAAGCAGCATATTTAGGTCACAATATAAGAGGAAGAGACGAGGCAGATGCTATGTTACAAAAAGATTACAATTAGAGATGAGCGAATCGAAGTAGGCGAAGTGGAATTCGTTTTGAATATTGGAAAAATTTTCGATCAAAATTTTTCCTAAAATGGCGGCGGACATGTGCGGTGATGGAGCGGGGATGTCTGGGAAGGCGCACAGACAAGGCGCGCTGACCCATAATGCATTCCTTAATGACATGTGATCGCATTAGCCAATCAGCAGCCAGCCAGCCAGCACTGTGTAATGGTCGAGCTATAAATGGCGGCCATTTTAGAATTCTTCATTTGCCTCCAGTCATTCAAGAGAGGCAGACCGCTCTATATTAGGGACAGAGTTAGGGCCACAGAAACGTTACTTAGGGACAGAGAAACGTTACTTAGGGACAGAGAAACATTACTCAGGGACACAGAATTGTTAGTGAGGGCCACAGAATCGTTACTTAGGGCCACAGAAACGCTAGTTAGGGCCACAGAATTGTTACTCAGGGACAGACAGAATTGTTACTGAGGGCCAGAGAATTGTTACTTAGGGCCACAGAAACGATACTTAGGGCCACAGAATTGTGACTGAGGGCCACAGAACTGTTACTTAGGGCCACAGAAATGTTAGTTAGGGCCACAGAATTGTTACTCAGGGACAGACACAGAATTGTTACTGAAGGCCACAGAATTGTTACTAAGGGCCACAGAATTGTTACTCAGGGACACAGAATTGTTACTGAGGGCCACAGAACTGTTACTTAGGGCCACAGAAACGTTAGTTAGGGCCACAGAATTGTTACTCAGGGACAGACACAGAATTGTTACTGAGGGACACAGAATTGTTACTGAGGGCCACAGAACTGTTACTTAGGGCCACAGAATTGTTACTCAGGGACACAGAATTGTTACTGAGGGCCACAGAACCGTTACTTAGGGCCACAGAATTGTTACTCAGGGACAGACACAGAATTGTTACTCAGGGACACAGAATTGTTTACTGAGGGCCAAAGAACCGTTACTTAGGGCCACAGAATTGTTTACTCAGGGACACAGAAGAATTGTTACTGAGGGCCACAGAACCGTTACTTAGGGCCACAGAATTGTTACTCAGGGACAGACACAGAATTGTTACTCAGGACACAGAATTGTTACTGAGGGCCACAGAACCGTTACTTAGGGCCACAGAATTGTTACTCAGGGACAGACACAGAATTGTTACTGAGGGCCACAGAATTGTTACTTAGGGCCACAGAAACGTTACTCAGGGACACAGAATTGTTACTGAGGGCCACAGAACTGTTACTTAGGGCCACAGAAACGTTAGTTAGGGCAACAGAATTGTTACTCAGGGACAAACACAGAATTGTTACTGAGGGACACAGAATTGTTACTGAGGGCCACAGAACTGTTACTTAGGGCCACAGAATTGTTACTCAGGGACACAGAATTGTTACTGAGGGCCACAGAACCGTTACTTAGGGCCACAGAATTGTTACTCTCAGGGACAGACACAGAATTGTTACTCAGGGACACAGAATTGTTACTGAGGGCCACAGAACCGTTACTTAGGGCCACAGAATTGTTACTCAGGGACAGACACAGAATTGTTACTGAGGGCCACAGAATTGTTACTTAGGGCCACAGAAACGTTACTCAGGGACACAGAATTGTTACTGAGGGCCACAGAACTGTTACTTAGGGCCACAGAAACGTTAGTTAGGGCCACAGAATTGTTACTCAGGGACAGACACAGAATTGTTACTCAGGGACACAGAATTGTTACTGAGGGACACAGAACTGTTACTTAGGGCCACAGAATTGTTACTCAGGGACACAGAATTGTTACTGAGGGCCACAGAACCGTTACTTAGGGCCACAGAATTGTTACTCAGGGACAGACACAGAATTGTTACTCAGGGACACAGAATTGTTACTGAGGGCCACAGAACCGTTACTTAGGGCCACAGAATTGTTACTGAGGGACACAGAATTGTTACTGAGGGCCACAGAACCGTTACTTAGGGCCACAGAATTGTTACTCAGGGACAGACACAGAATTGTTACTGAGGGCACAGAATTGTTACTTAGGGCCACAGAAACGTTACTCAGGGACACAGAATTGTTACTGAGGGCCACAGAACCGTTACTTAGGGCCACAGAATTGTTACTCAGGGACAGACAGAATTGTTACTGAGGGCCACAGAATTGTTACTTAGTGCCACAGAAACGTTACTCAGGGACACAGAATTGTTACTGAGGGCCACAGAACAATTACTTAGGGCCACATAATTGATACTCCAGGGA